TATCTATCTATCTATCTATCTATCTATCTATCTATCTATCTATCTATCTATCTATCTATCTATCTATCTATCTATCTATCTATCTATCTATCTATCTATCTATCTATCTATCTATCTATCTATCTATCTATCTATCTATCTATCTATCTATCTATCAACGAACGAATCAACGAATGAGCGAATGAACGAACGAACAAACGAAGATAAAAGAATACTAAAATTGACTCTAAAATAAGATAAAAGAATATTAAACAGCACTCGACAGCCCACCGATCACCATCATCTTCCAATATTGTGATGTCCCCGTCATCAAACATCTTCAAAATTATATCTTTTTATTAACTTTAAAAATTATATCAACTTTCCATAACAGTGTGCGATTTCTAAACATCTATTTGTCGTCACTTATGTAATTTAATTTTTTCGTGTCTTTTTTTTGTTTATAACTTTTAAATAGTTACAAAAATCTCATCAAAAAATAAATTAAATGACTTTTTTTTAAATTGTTAATTTGATTCATGTTAGTGAGTTCTTTTTCGGTTCGTGAAACTTATACAGATTAGATACAGTCCAATCCCTTAAGAAGTAGTTATTAAGTGCCTTATGAAATGGGGTAAGTAAAGTTAAATTAAAGTTAATTAATTATTAATGTTTTCATTAATATAAATTAATTAATTCTATTAAAAAATTAATTATAAATTATTTGTAAATCATTTATTTTATTTTTTTAATTAAAAAATTAAATTAAAAAATTACAGAGAACATTTGTTAAACACAGTAAACTGTCATGTCTTTCATGTTGATCCATGCACAAAAAAGGAGTGGTTGCCAAGTAGCACTCAACTTGTTGACGTCTGCTTCTACCATGATGTCCCCAGAAATATTTTTAGGATTATCTCTATTGAAAATAATAAAGTTAGTGAATGTGATTGATTAGTGTATTGGAGGCTGTGTTTGTTTGTTCTAGTAGCTGATGATTCAAATACCTAAAATAATTTTGTAGATTGAAATGTCTATTTAATACACAATGCAATACCTAAACAATATGTAGGTTCTCATAAATAGTACAGTACATCCAGAGACGACATTTATCAAAAGTTCTCATAAGTTTGGGCAGTGGACTGATTTTTATTCAAAATGTATTTATGGTGTGGGCTTCGATGAGGAAGTTGATCTCAATAAGGTAATGAAACTAACTCTGATTGGTTGGCTGTTTGGAGCCTGTGATTGGCTAGCTGTTTTGGAGTCTGTAATTTGATTAGTTATTTTTATTGATTAGTTTATAATATGTTGCTGGTTTTATAAAGGATTGTCTTTTTTTTTATTGACTGGATGGGTGTTAAATGTACTGACTGAACAAATGAAGGAAGAAATAATTGAATGAAGGAAGAAATAAATGAGGAATTAATCTATCAATAAATTAATCAAATCAGTTTATAGAATATTTTGATGAAGTGAAGAAGCAGGCAGCCCAGGATATCTTCACAAACAGTCTTGTGTTACTTAAAGAAGTATGTATGTTTGTATGTATGTTTGTATGTATGTTTGTATGTATGTTTGTATGTATGTTGTGTGTAGGTTTGTATGTTTCTATGTGTAAATATGTTTGCATATGAGTGTGTATGTATGAATAAATGTACAACTGAATGTCTGAATTTTTAAATGAGTGAATGAATAATTGCATAGAGAAATGAATGAAGAGATGGATGAGTAAATAAACGAAAGAAAAGATAATTGGATGAACGAATTAACGAATGAATGAATTGACAGATGCAATCAAATGATTCTTCAGTGGAACAAATGAGATACGAGAATGATCGATTGAAGATTGCTCTGGCTCAGAGGTGATGATGATGATGATGTAGTGATTATGATGACGATGATAATGATAAAATGATAAAGGTGATGATGTTTACAATAATGATGATGATGATTATGTTTCTCTACCCATAAAAAAAGTTGTTGCAATGCCAAAAAATGGACAGTCGAACTGCAGATGCTACGAAACACGAACCGCCGATTGAAGTCTGCTGTCGAGGAGAGCATCGCCAATGTTGAAAAGTGGAATCAGCACATGATCACTCTGAAAGAGGAAAATGCCCAACTTAAAAATAAGGTCAGAAAGGGTAGGTGAGATTAGATTCAAATGTAATTGGGTCAAGTTTGGTTTGAATATGGCAGAGTTGGGCTGAAATTGGGTCGAGTTTGTTGAAATTTGGTCTTGTTTGACTGATATTGTGTCAAATTGCGTTTTGTCTAAGTTGTGTTGTGCTGTATAACTTGCATGTAGGTAGGGTAAGTTTGAATGATGATTGCAATGATGGTGATGACGATTAGAATGATGGTGATGTTGATATTGATGATAACAGTAATGATGATGAGGAGGAGGAGGATGATGACCGTATAAAATTTTCATATCACTACCAGATATGTGAGATGGAGAGGTGTGGTCCGACGAAAGAAATACTCGAGCAGCAGAATAGTGAAATGAGAGCTAGACTGGTCGATGCGCTAGAAAAGATGGCTGAACTACAAAAGGTCGTTATTCATAATCTTTGGTTATTTATCATCCTTGCTATCGTCATCTTTGTTCATCATGTTTCTTACAACTATCTTTGTCATCATCATTTTTTTATCACTGTCGTTATAATCAGCATCATCATCCTTACAAAAACAACAAATACTACTACTAATACTACTACTGCTGCTGCTGCCTCTCTGGCCACTACTACTGCTACTTTCTACTTTATTGTGATCTCAGGAAATAGACACATTGAAGATGAGGTTGTCATTTTTTAAGAGTGCTGAGGGTGACAAGACGTGTCTCTCACTGAATAAATTGGTTGGTTGGCTGATTATTTAACTGATTGATTGGTTGATTGAATGGTTGATTGATTGGTTGATTTGTTGGCTGGCTGGTTGGTTTCATAGGTTCTTGGTTGGTAGGTTAAATGGTTGAATGTTCGTTTTTGCATTATTGCCGGATGAATATTGATTTTTGATTGACATATCTAAATTTATACCCCAAGGAACTGGAGGAAGAAAACAGACAACTAAAAGAAGATTTAAATTCTCTCAAACTTTCTCTAGGGCTATCGGCTCACCACCACCACCATCACTACAACGACAACAACAAATTACAACAACTCGATAACCACCTTCGACAACAACAACTTCACCAAACGAAAACAACAACTGGCACATCCCTACCGACCGATCGATGGCTGGAGATTCAAGAACTACAAGAGCAGTTCAACGAAAAGATCGAAGAGTTATCGAAGATTAAAAATAAAATTGCATCTCTGTTTTGATTTATGTTTCGTGTTTTATTTTTCGTATTTAGGGTTTGAAATTTTTGACATAATTGATATTGATGTTTCTTCTTCTTCTTCTCAATGTTTTTGTTGTTTATATGGATTGCATGGGTCAGCGATAGATAGTATTACTATTCATATTGCTGGGTTTTTATGAGCAGTAGTTCATTTCAGTCGTTTTTAGTTATTTTCATTTGTGATATATATCGTTGCCTTGTTTATTTATTCATTCGTTCATTCATTTATTTGTTCATTCGTTCATTCATTCATTTATTTGTTCATTCATTCATTTATTTGCATGTTCATTAGATCAGTCATTCGTTCATTTTAGAATTTATTTATTGACTCAATTTATTTTTTTACTATTTACACATATACAATACATATTCATCTAGATTTGCACAACCACTAAAGATGTGCTTTACTTTGAATGATTGAATAAATGATTGAATGAGTGAATGAATGATTGAATGAGTGAATGAATGATTGAATGAGTGAATGAATGAACGAAAAAATTAATTAATGAATAATACTCCTATCATCTGATTTAATAAATTCCGTATTTTTCTAACCTGAACAAATTGTTCTCTCTCGATACTTCAAGTCATTTTCATATTTTTGTATTTATTCTACTTTTAGACTTACTGAGTTTGATTTTAGTCTCACACACGCACACACTCCCACCAAACACAAACAAACACACACACACACACACACATATATATTATACAGTTGTCTATTTACATATATACTATAAGTACATATGAAGATTTTAAACGGTAAATTTGTGAAAATAATGAAGTTTATTTCTTTATTTGTTTTGATTTTCAAAGATGTCTTCTAACAGAAATCTAATTCTTTTTATTCATGCATTAAAATGTTAAGCTAAAAAGTTTCAGAAAACGGATTTCATTTTGCATTTGTTCTGATTCGTTCAAACTATCAGTTAATTTTATTCATTCATTCATTCATCCATCCATTCACCTATACATGCATTAAACAACAATACTAATAAACACAATAACCAAACTACCATTAGATGTAAATTTAAAGTTTCAATAAAAATGACGGATGGACGATAGCAATGTATATAACCTATATATATATATATATATATATATATATATATATATATATAGTAATTATATATATATATATTATATATATATATAGTAATTATATAAAACATACAATATAAATCCCAACATATATGTGGGTATACAATATATATATATATATATATATATATATATATATATATATATATATATATATATATATATTCTGACTAGATATAAAAAGGTAAAATAGTCTACCGAAACAAGAGTGTCGGAATCGGATGAAAAAAATCCAACTCCTCTAAAAAATCCGACTCCATCCTTCAAAAAATTCCGACTCCATCTCTCAAAAGCCAAAATCTCCAACTTCAACACTCTAGCCTAAACATTGAAACGTTTTTCTTGGTTGCATGTATGTCTGTATGAACATATGTCTGTATGAACATATGTCTGTATGAACATATGTCTGTATGTATGAATGTTTGTTTGTATGTATGTATGTATGTATGTATGTATGAATGTTTGTTTGTTTGTTTGTATGTATGAATGTTTGTTTGTTTGTATGTATGTGTGTATGTTTCTGCGTATATATGCATGATATAACTCTGTTTTTTTATAAATATCGGAATGTTTCTATAAAAATCACAACATCCAAAAATTTTATAAAAAATGTGCTATCTACAAATATCAATAATCTATTGTAAAATCTCTATACTTTGTATATATATATATATATATGTAAGTATGTATATATATATATATATATGTTCCGTCTTTCCATATATATATAGAAAAACCAGTGTATATATATATATATATACACATAGTTATATATATAGTTATAACAGTTTTAACAACAGCAGTAGTAGTTGTAGAAGTAAGAATTGAAATACTGGTTGTCAAATCACGAAAACCGGTGTAAATAATGATTGTGTTTGTGCGTGTGTGTGTGTGTAGTAATATTTTATTGTTATAAATAAGTTACATAACGTAAGAGGAACACATTAACATAAATACGTAGGACGTATTTTGATATGCAAGCACGTGATATATAAAATTAATCTAATAAGAAAAAATAAACAAATAAATATACACACTTAACACATGCAGTCGAACACATACGTACATTTTCCACTAAACCTCATTTCTTATTCACGCACTCACTCAATTCAGACGCCCATCCCATTCTAATCCTCTGCCCGGTTTATCGTCATAACCATCTCGCTTATCTTCTACGTCATCGTCGTCATCCTCTTCGTCATCTTCGTCTGCTGATTCCTATAAATGATATTATCATTATTGTTGTTATTATTATACTCATAAATGCAGATAAGCAGATAAACACACACCACACACACACCACACACACACACACACACACACTTGTTCATACACACACACTTACTCGTATATACACAGACACGCACATAAAACTCACACTCGCACTCGTACATACACACAGATACATAATAATATGCATAATATAGCGCGAGCAGGGGAAAAAATGATAAATTTTATAAATAAATTTAAAAATAAA